CCCGCCCCGCCCCCGCCCCGCATGCGCCTCGCCTGCCGATTCCTCCTCCGATGAAGAATCCGTCCACGTGGCCTTTCCAGTGCTCCCTTGGAAATGAGGCATCGTGAAAAACTTGACATTGATGAAAAAGGCCAGAAACTTGAATCTCGCAGTGTTGAAACCGGGGCTCTTCGGGTGCAGTCCCCGTGGCAGTGTGACCACTGCGGTTGGAAACCAGACAGGAGTGTGACCGTTGTGGTTTTACGGTGACTGTTACAGGGCTGTGTGCTGTGTTTGGTTTTGGTGGGAGGGGGTGTGGACTGTGGGGTGAATTGTGCACCGGTGTTTAATGCTTATTATGGAAAATGTAACCACGAAAACAAGGTATTTTAAGTGTCACCTGCGTAAATAAAATGTAAGCGTTACTGCGCACTGTTCATTTGCCGTTATTTATAAACATCAGTGAGTTGCAGTTACTAGTAATTACGATTAAAAGCGGTTTTTGTCCATTTCCGTCTAAGATGACATTCCCGCCGAGTATCCGTGTGTAGAACCACTGGAAGACACCGGAGAGAAATGAGAGGGACCCGCTTTCCCACTGTCCTGGCTGTGGGCGGTGACGGTGGCAGGACCCGCCCAGCTCACGGCCGTGTCCTGGCGTCACGGCCTGGCCGTGACAAGGTGCCTCCGAGTGGGATGCATCTCAGCTCACAGGCCATGACCTGTTTCCCGCAGGGGCCTGGGGAGGGCGGCCAGTCACGCAGGGACAGCATGTGTGGGCTCGGGGCCATCTCCCAGCTGTGCATGTGGCAATGTTCTCCAAGCTCCCGGCCCCACGTTCTCACGTGACCAGAGGGGTCCCCAAGCAGAGGGACAGAACCGCACCTGCAGGCCACTGTGCCGGCTTGGGCGGCTCCGCGGGCTCCTCCGCTGTGTGCGGTGAGTCGGCACCTGTGCTGCCTCCCGCTGGGGGTCTGCTCTGGAGGGGGCGTGAGGGTTGGACATGGGGTGGGGCGCGGGGGTACGTGGGGACAGTGTGGGGGCAGCTTTGGGAGGTGGCCAGGGGTGGTGGCCCTGGGTGCCACCTCGCGACCTTCCTGCTGTGGTCTGCGGGGTGCCCTGTAAACACAGGGCAGGAGGGTGTGGGGGTCAGGCTTCAGCCTCCAGTTGCAGCTCCTTGACAGAAGGGCCCCTTCGGGGACAGCTGTGGGGCTGGGAGGGATGGGGGCCCGGCCGCAAGGACCTCGTGCTCCCCGCCCCACGGCCGCGTGGCCCTCCCGTGTGGGGAAGCGTGAGGGCTGTGATGCTCATGTCAGTTAGTACTTCCGAGCGTTCTATTTGAAACGCTGATGAGTTCGTGGGAAATTACAGATTGTCCTGAGGTCCGCGCGCCCCTCGCCTGGCCCCCCATGCTAAGACAGTGTCGGCCAGGAGAGTGACAGCATGTCTGAGGGGCCTCAAGCCTGGGCCCGACGGCCACAGTCACACCTGAGTTTTTTTTGCCTTTGCCAAAATAAGGTTTGATTTTGAAAACCCTTTGAAAGTAAGAGAGTTAAGAATCATCAGGTTTGGGGTTCAAGTTCACGTTTGCTCCCTCGCGGTCGGTGGCCAGGGTCGTGGAGCTGGGGACGGTCCCCGCACCTCCTTCCTTGGGCACCCGGCCTGCACTGCCCGCCCCACCGTCGGACCCTGCTGCAGAGTGCCACCGGGCCCGCAGCCGACGGTGAGCTCGGAGCACTGCCCACTGCAATGGGCCCTGCTGGCCCACTGGTCTGAGACGGTGCCATCCGGTCACCACAGATGTCTTCCTGTGAGCCTGAGGGGTGGCCTGGGGTGCCGGACTGCCTTCCGGGGGGCCCGCCCCCGCCTTCCACCCGTCTGCTCCAGGCTGGCCTCGGCCTGAGGTCGGCCCCCATGGGTGCACTGTCAGCCCCACCTCCGTACTTGTACCGTGTGTGAAGGGCTCTCCGGTCCCCGGCCTGGGGACCTGGGCCAGACCCTGGACTGCAGAGGGGCCAGGCCCAGCCGTGCTCTCCCGGAGCGGCCTCCTCGCGGTCCCTGCCCTTGGCAGACGCGACTGGCGTGGTGGCCCCGGTCCAGGGCAGGACGGGCCGCAGGAGCGTGACGTGGGCACCAAGGCGGCTTCTCCCGCTTGTGGTCACAGGTCAGCTCACTGCACTGACCACTGCTTTGACCACTGCACTGCACGCGGGCCCCGTCTGTGCAGATGGCAGCCTAGCCTGGCTGCTGGACCTGGCTGCTGACCCAGCGGCCGGGTGAGTGAGTGACCAGCTTCTTGGCTAGATCTTAACGTCGGTCATACATGTCCGAAAATCCCCAAGCGCTTAGAATTCCCAGCTGCCAACCAGAGGAGGTCGGGGCTGATGCCACACGCGTCCTGCCCAGCCGTGCGGGGGCTTCACGCTCGGGCCACAGCAGGCCCACTGGCGAGGTCACGGTCCCCTGACGGTCGGCGCGGACAGTGGGCCTGGTGAGTCGGTGACTCGTTCTCCAAAGCTGCCTGTGCTGCAGCCGCTCCGCCAGGCTGAGCAGCGGTGACCCGCACTGGGCTGTGGACGCGGCTCCCCGTGGGCCGTCGGCAGCTCAGTGCTTTGCCCTTGTTCCCCGGTTTTGAGGGGTTTTGGTTGATGGACAGCTCCTCCTCAGTGAACAAACAGTTCAGTTTCTATGGCATGAAAATTGTTTCTCTGACCGACCAGCCGTTACACAAGGACCCGGGGAGGCCGGGACGCCAGGACAGTGGTCCTCCTGCTCCTGAGAACGTGAATTGGATGCACGGTGGGCAGTGTGTCCCCAGGCCTGGGCGGGTGGGCCGGGCTTGCAGAAGTCCTGGTTCTGGGAGGGGGCCCGGACGGTAGCAGGCGGGGCCGGGGCAGGGCGACATCCTCAGTCCACTGCTCACATCTCCAAAACGTAGCCTGTCCCCAGGGGCAGCACACTCTGCCCTGGACCCTGTGACACTACCCTTACTCCCCTCGACACCTAGGTCTCGGCAGAGGGCCGGTCTGTGCCTGGGATCGTGTGTGGGCTCCCTGATCCCCACGCTCAGGGGTGGCCCCCAGTCATGGCTCTGTCCTGCTTCCCTGAGCCTGGCGCTGTCACTGTCCTTGCATAGCTGAGCGCACAGGCCCCCGGGCGTCAAGGATGGTCCCCAAGTCCACTCTGGCCAATCGATGGGAGGCTGCGGGTCTCGCCCACCAGGCTGTGCTGTCCTCAGCCGCAGCTCGCTGGCCTGCGTGGAGCTGGGCAGGTGCTGCACAGATGTCCTCCCTCCGGGGCGGGCGGGGCCGTGGCGCTGCTGGGCACCTCGCTGTGGCTGTGCCCTCCCCCAGTCCCTGGGCGGGGACCTTAGACGAGGCGCGCTCAGAGGCCGGGCCCCACGTCTGCCTGCGGGGTCTGTCAGTCAGCTCTGGGTTACCCAGTATGCACACGGACAGATGGCTGAGCGTGCGTGGACGGCGCTGATTACAACAGCATCGTAACTTGTTACACGTTACATTTAAGTAACCGCGGAACAGCCCCGTGCTCGGTTTGCCTGCGGTGGCTTGTTGAAGAAGGCCCACAGTCCAGACTGGCTGTCGATTGCTAGCAGTGGCTTTTCTGTGGTCCTCAGCCCTCCATATTCCAAGAATGTGGCATTGTGTCCAATTCCAGCTGACATTTTGGCCCTAGTGCCTCCCACGTGCAGCCAGGAGGTGACGCCAGCCATCCACGCCACCCCGGTTCCCGTGGCGGCCGGCTCCGTAGTGCACAGCTGGTCTCTGAGGTGACCCTTCGGCCCTCGGTGACGGGGATTGGCTGTAAGGAGATGGAGTCTCACGGGCCCTCCTTCGCAGGCAGTGACAGGAGCCCCCTCGGAGCTGGGCCACGCTGGGAGCTCGGTGTCCAGCAGCAGGTGACGGCCACGTTGGCGGAGGAGAGCCCGTTTCGTGACGTTTGCAGTGTTTTATTTCTCACTGCGTGAGCCGTGCACGGTCGCTGTCGAAAGCTGGGATGCCGACGAGGAGTGCGAGCCCCCTGCAGAGGCCACGTCTGGGCATCTTCGGCCGCCTGTCTGCCGGTCAGCACCGCCTGGCGACGGCTCCAGCTGGGCAAGATGGATCCGCCCGAGGGTCAAGTGCCACTGATGTGACTGCTCCTGGGGACACCGTTGCCTCTGCAGCAGCCTTCCTACCTGTCCCGTGTCTTCAGTGAGGTCAAAGGTCAGGCCTGGGACCCACGGCAGCCACTGGCCGTCGCCCCCATCACCACAGTTCACATTGTGGTAACGTCCTGGCTCACGTTGAGAGCTTCGGTTTCTGGTTTTAGCATTTGATTTGCTCTTTCCAGTTTTAAAAGGTGTCCTCGTTTGCCTGATGAATGCCTGCGCATCGAGTTTAATTTGAGCGATCTTATTCTACCTTTGATTCATGTTATCGTAAGTCATAATTTTCATCCTCTCAGAGGCTCAAAACCCTTATTTGCAGCATCAACTGCTCCTTTTCCTTTGTCCTCACGCTCCCTCGGGGTCCCTCTGCGGAGCTACCTCCCCGATGGCTTTGATCCGTGTCCCTTCTCCCCGTTAGGGCCCGGCGCCCACCTGCCCCTGGTTCTCAGCCCGGCAGTGGCTCCGGTTTGTCCTCATCCTGTGGCTGCCCTGGGGGTCTCTAGTCCCAGGAGGAGCCTGTCGGCGAGTGCGTTGCTCGGGCCCCAGACCTTCAGTCGTGCTCAGGGTGGGCGAAGCCGCCAGAGTGAGCCCTCAGTGACAGCAGCCCCCTGCCCGCCTGTCCCCCACAGCGGCGACCCCACCGGCAGCCCCAGTTCCATGCTGCCGAGGTGACCTGGGCCGAGCTCAGGACTGTGGTTGACCGGGTGCCTCGCGGCCTCTCTGCCTGGCCTCGCCCAGCGCCCAGCCCCCACCCGCCCCATCAGCAAGTGGCTGCCAGCGTGGGGCTGTCCT